CCCCCCCCCCAGCCCCTCCCCAACCCCCTTCCACAGCGCTCACAGCTCTGTTGTGTCCTGGGGCCAGCCTGTCGGCCCCTGTCATAAAGGTTTGCCACGCTGTGCGTGCGGGGGTGATGCCGGTCTCCCTTTGTGCTGGCTCGTTTGCCAGGAGTGAGGATTCTATTGTAGAAAGAATCGGCGTGTGGAGGTGGCCTGTGTGGTGGGTGGCCCCCGGGAGACCCCACTGGGCGGCAGCGCCGTGGGCCCAGCACCGTTTTCCTTCCAGAGCCGGGGCGGGGATCGTGGGTCCCACTCCTGTGGGGGGCGTGCTTGGGGTTTCCGTGATAGCCCGTCGTGGCCGGCCGCAGGGTCATCTCAGAGCCGGCGCCTGCTGGACCCTGAGTTTCTGTGGCTTTGGCTCAGCCGTTTCCCTACCGGGTCCTGGGCTCCAGGAGTCCCGGGAGGTGACGTGTACGGAGTCCTAGCTCTGGGAGCCCTGGCCTTCAGAGCTTCTGTTTCCCGTGGAGAGTGAGAACAAGGCGTCCTGCCTCTCAGAGTCGCTGGGGTGTCGTGTCAGGAACTTGTGAGGGGCCCTCGCTGGCAGACAGTCTGCTGTCCCAGGAAGGCCGAGTGAGGACCCTGCCCAATCCCCAGAACCTCGCCAGACTATACTGACCGTGTATGTTGGCTCCCGTGTGCCCTTTGGCCCGTGTGAGAGGCCAGGGGCTGCCTTTGACGGGTAGGGGAGGGCGCACCCGAGGGCAGCTCTCCAGGCTTGGAGCCACATGCCTGGCCGGGCGATGTCGTCCGTGTCAGAAGTAGCACAGTCCTGCTCCAGGACCAGTGGGGTTTTCTCTGACCTCCTGTGGGTCAGCGGTGGGCTGTGCTGGGGCCAAGATCCCTCCTCGCTTCAGTCCCGGTGGGGTGCTTCCGCTCAGAGGCCCTCAGCTGCTTGGCCTCGGTCTCCCCGGACTGTCCCCACTGTGGAGGTCTGCTGCCCACCCTGACAGCTGGGTGCCGGGCCTCGGGCTGGGGCGGAGTGGGTGTTGCCGGCCGTGCCCCAGTCCCTTGAGGGCAGGGAGGCCGGGTCCTGTGCCGCCTCAGCCACAGCTGCTGTGCCGGTGGCTGGGCTCCAGGTGGTCTGTGCAGAGCTGCCCCCGCACCCCCCCCCCCATGGCCCCTCCTCCATCAGAGCAGGGTTCCTGGCCCCCCCAAGGGCTTTCCTCAGCAGGAGCCTGTCAGCAGTGAGGAGCTCTGACCTAAGATGCCATGTTCCAAAAGCTGCTGTCAGGCAGTGGGACTCTTGGCCCAGAGGGGGCTCTGTGCTGGGGAAGAGGTCGGCTGGCGGCAGCCGTGGGCAGCTTTCCACCTGTGTCGCGGGAGGGCGGACTGTGGGCAGCAGGCCGATTCTCCATGTGCACTGAATGAGCCACTAGGGCCCTGGCAGGTTGGCCAGCGCCTATGTGCCTTCCCCCTCCCCCGCCCCCACAGTTCAGGCAGGCGGCCCCAGGCCCATGGCTCCCCGCAGGCCAGCAAGGGCTGGTGCCACCCAGTTGAGAGTAGGGACCGGCAGGCCCTGGGCCTTGATCTCTTCCTCCCGTGCCCGGCACGGGGAGTCGAGGCTGGCGTTCGTGGGAGAGATGCCTGTCGCACACCTGGCCTGAGCCCAGCCCCTCCCAAGCCCCGAGGGCCCAGCCTGCTGTGGCCTCTGCACGGGCGAACGGGCCGAGCCCAGGGCCCTGTGCCCCAGGTCCCCGGTCCCTTCCCCGTGTGCTGGGGTGGATGGTGAGCACTCAGCCCACCTGGTGCAGACACCCGGCTCAAACCTGAGCAGGCAGGTGAGCGTGGGCTGGGCCCCCACCTCGGTGGGCTCCCTCTAGCCGGATGAGGGGCTCTGCGGGAGGGGCCGAGGCGGGGCAGGCGGTGGAGGAGCCCGGCGGGGCAGAGAGGACCTAAGCCCAGGCAGGCGGAGACGTAGCCTGAGGGCTGGGGGGCCCTGGGGGTGTTGGTCTTGGGCCCCCATCAGCCCACACTCGCCTTCTCCCTCCTAGGACAGGTCCCAGAAGAGGAGGCTAGTCAGAACGGGCAGAGCCGGGGCCCGCCCAAAGTCGTGTGCGTGAACGGCACGGAGTCGGCGCAGCTGAGCGCCAAGTCGAAGGTGGAGCGCCGGGCCAGCGCTGCCTCCAACCCCACCCGCAAGGCCTGCTCGGCCAGCAGCAAGATCCGCAGGCTGTCGGCCTGCAAGCAGCAGTGAGGGTCGCCGCCCGCAGGTAGGCCGCCTCGGGGACCTGGGGGGGATGGGACACACCGAGGGCACCGGCCCACCACTGCTGACCGGGGCCGGTTCTGCCCTTCGCCGTTCTGTCGGTCTTCGTCCACCGCCACCGGCATCTGGGCCAGAGGTAGAGGAACTCACTTGCTCTAGGACCCTGGCCGGGGGCTCGGGGGTGGGGGGTGGCTTAGGCAGCAGCTCCTGCGAGCAGGAGGCGGGCCCCTCACAGGAGCCGCCTGTCCTGCCAGCCCTGGGTGATGCTGGACTCGGCCCAGAGGTGTATGAGGCGCCGGGTGGCCGGGTGGGAGGTTGAGACGTCTTGGGTCTGGATCGGGCTGTCATCCTGGTGGCCGCTCGGCCTCCTCCACTTCCTCTTCCTGCTCCTGCCTGCCTGCCCCAGTCCAAGAAGATGTATGTGCAGGGGAATCAGGCCCCAGGGGTGCAGGAGAGCCCATCGTCTGCTCGGGGTGCAGGCGGGGTGCCCTCTCCCAGGGTGCTGCCCCCACCCCCCCTCAAGTGGCCCTGGAGTGCTTATCTGCCGGCATCAGAACCAGCCAGGCAGGCTGAAAACTGCTTCTTTAGGGAGGCCTGGCTCTCTCTGTGGAGGGTGGTGCTTAACCCCAGTGGGCAGGGGGTGAACTACAGGGTGGCCCTTCAGATCAGTGCGACCTTGCCTGGTCTCTCTGGACGCCTGACAGCTCCGTGTGACCAGGCGTCAGTTTCCCCCACCCTGTCAGCGGGCCCCAGGGTGGGCCCTGCCTCCTGAGATACAGAATGCGTTTGCCGGCCCAGGAGTGACCCATCTGTTCCCGTCTGCAGCCCGTCTCATCCAGGTGCCACGGCCCAGGTCCTCAGTCTTCCCGCCGACCGCCGGCCCACGTCTGCTGCCCAGAAAGGCCACCACCACACCCTCCTTGCCGACTGCCCCTCAGGAATCCAGGGGTCCTGGAGGGCCATGGCTGGGGGACAGCAGGGACTGGGGACTGGCCTTCCCCTCATGGCCAGTGAACACGGCCTCTCATTGACTTTGCAGCCCTGCGCTGAGCCCCCTCCCCGGGCCTCGGGAGGAGGGAGAGCGCCGGCACGCGGGCCCCGCGGGAAGCCCCTGCCATGCACTTTACGTTCAGACTACTGGTCCTCGCCCCACCCCTGACTTCTTTTTACTCTGCTCCACGTTAGCGCCTCCCACACCTAGTGATGTGTTCGGACAAACCACAGCCACAGCCGGAGCCAGTAGAAGAACAGGGCCGTCAACCAAGATGCATGCCCAGAGCCCAAGGGAGCCAGGCGGCTGCCTTGTCTTTGTTGTTTGGTTGGTTCCTTTTCCTTTTTCTAAGAAAAAATAAAGCAGGTGGATTTGAGCTGGTTGTGAAGGGTGTTTGGGAACTGTTGGGTGGTCCTCTCATGGGCTTCACAGCCCCGGGGGCAGGCTGGGCTCTGCAGGTCTTGCCGGCTGGCAGGAACTGGGGCTTCCGAGGGGGTCTATCTTTGGCCACGCTGGACAGGAGTCCCCTCGGTGGTGACCGGTCTCCCCAAAGCTCCCCAGGGCCCTCGGCTCCCCAGTGCAGCAGCCGGGGGCCTGATCGCAGGACCCTGACCGTCTTTCCAAGTTCTCTGTGCCCCTGGGTCCCCAGAGAAAACCCGAACTAAGCAAGAGTGTGCAGTGAATATTTATAATCAACCAGAAAACAAACACAAGAAACTCCCATCACTGGATGGTACACAGACGGCACGAAGCTCCGAGGGGAGGGGAGGGGAGGGGCGGGG